AATGCATTGTAACCTGGTGATCCAAGCGTGGTCAGGGCAGGAAACCCCAGCAGCACGGGGTCACGTCACCAGCATTGCTTTGCCCATCCCTGGGTGCTGTGGGCTCTGAGGACACCCGGCACACAGCATGGGAGTGTGAAGGCTTGCAGTTGTATTGATGGTTTGGTCACAGTTTCTGATCTCCACGGGAAGGTCGGTTGGATTTCTCCCTGCCCACTGGGCTACGAGATCTCACTTTAGTTGTTCATTGTTGTTAAACAAACATGCATTCTGGTTTGAAATACAGAACAGGTTAGATCACAAGGAAGGAAGCCCAAGCCCCTGCTTCAGGTGAGACCCTGCGCACAGGAGATGATCCCACTTTGTATCTCCTTGTGGGGATTGCTCCCGTCCCTCTGTTCCTGTCTGCTTGAAAAGGGCTGTGCTGCAGCACAGGTTTATCCTTCCTTCCCCTCAGAAGGCTTTCTCTGTCCCAGAGCTGTCTGCAGACCTGATACTAATTAATCATTTTTGCACCTCATCATTCCAGATTGAAGTCTTGGAGTCACCTGCTTCCAGTAAATGCCTTCCTAACACCTCCAGTGATGTATGGGGAGAAAAGAGCCCTCCACAGCAAGAGAGGCCCAGCTCAGCTGCAGAGACTTGCCCGGAACAAGCTGCTGTGTGAAATCACAGAGGGTTCGAATGCTGTTTAACAGCAGAACAGGTACACCTGTGTGTGGGGATGGGTCTGGCCGGGTTCCACCACCCTGCACAAAGCAGATCCTGCAGCTCCATGTGAGGGGCTGCTCACAGAACTATTCCTTTGGGAAAGGGGTTTCTTTTGGGACTTGCTGCTTTAAAGCAGGGCATAAGTGTGGTAACGCTGCTAAACCCAGCTCCTCCAACTGCTGTTCCCAGGAGCTCTGCTGCCTTTCTGCCTGATCTTTAGGGAGCTGCTGGCTCCAGAAGCCATCAGAGCTTTTCTGTTCCCTGGTCCTCACCCCTCTGGATCGCTGCAGGGAGCAGCAGCAGCGTGGGGCAGGCCCCAGCCCTGTGCACAATGGAGCATTTTTCTTGGCTTTAGAAAACAAGTGCGTGCCAAGGTGAGTATTGACTTGGTGTGGAGAACATGCGGCTCATGGATGAATAAATCTCGGTGCTCGCTCGCAGCGGAGCAGGAGCTGCAGCTCGCAGGGAAGTGCATTGATTTCTCCTGTTCTCCCCCCCTGCAGCTCTCTGGTCAGGATTTGCCATGCGGAAACACACTAAATGTCACCGTTGGCTCCTCTCTGCTCCCTTTCTGTTGCTGATGACCTTGTGCACAGCAGAGAGCCCAGCAGCACTGCTCGTCCCTCTGGGAAGGTGCCAGAGTCACAGCTAAAGGAGCATGCAGGGAGCTGTGGGGAGAAATGCCTGGAGGCTCCATGGCTGATCTTCAGGCCACCAGTGCTGGGATAGGGTGAGTAATCCCATGTTCATTGGTGAGCCAGGTGGTTTAGTTCAGGCTGATGCCTGTCAGCGGCCTCCTCTTGGTGCAGTCATCATCCATGGCACATCCTGGCAATGGTTCTGTCCTCTGTCTACCCTCCATCAGTTCCAGCTCCCCAGCAGACACCGGTGTCCGCACCCCTTGAACTGTACCTGCACTGATTTCTCAGCAGCAGCAAAGCTGTGTGGTCTTCCAACATCATTAAAATCTCATGGTTTAATATCCACCATTCTGGAAGGCATCAAGGGGAGTAAATTGGCTGCTTTGAGAGTTGGTGATGGTAGAATGGGTTCACGCTGCTTGCATTGACAGCCCAGGCTTTAAGGGTGTTAAACAGAGAACACCATGGCCCTGCCCTACTCTTGGTTTGCTGTGCTGGCAGGTTGTTGGGGTGCTGCCGGTGCTGTGCCACCCCTGTTTGACTCCTGTGTCCTTTACACTCCTAGCACCAGGGCATTCCATTTTTTACCCTTTTTTCCTATTTGTGAGTGAGAGCTGGCTGTAGTGTTAAAGGGTAATACAAAGACTTTACATCTGATAGCTGCTCGTTCGCATTGTTTGAGGAGATAAGAGTCAAAGCCCTACTAAGCACGCTTTTGAATTCACTTATCAGTGCTTAACCAGCCTTTTCTCCCGCTGTCCCCTGTCACCACCTGGGTAGGGGCTGCATGGGGAGAACCTGGACTGGCAGTGCCCGCTCACGAGTCCTGTTTCATCTGCTGATGGTGCTGTTAAGAGCAGGGCTTTATTCCTGCTGTCAGAGGGGTTGCGTGCTGCAGGAGGAGGTGCAGCAGGAGGAGGTGCAGCCTGTGTAATCCCGGAGCAGCAGCGCATCAGGGAGGCTCCAGAGGTGACGTGCCCGTGCCCATGCCCAGCAGTGGGATGACACTGCTCTGCCCTCCATGGAGGCACAGGTAACCAGGATGATTCCCACCCAGTTTCCCTCATGCTGCCAGTTAACAGCAAGGGAGATGCCTCACACCCCACAGGCTCTTAATTCACGATACAGCTGCTAATTAGTACCTCCACAAACGGCCTTGCCACCTTTGCCAGACACTGCACAGCAGCTACGCAGTGGATCGGGGACTGATGCGTGCGATGGGAGGGACAGAGAAGGGCTGTGTTAATCCTTCCCCCCCCACTCCAACAGCAAAGAATTTCAACTTTCAGACAAACAACTTCATTTACAAGTGTCTCTAATTAGCTGCAGAATTAGTAAAGCCGAGTTTTCCCCCCATAGATCGGCCGGAGCCCCGGGGGAGGCTGGGGAATAGAGAGAATCGCATTTCCAATTATTTTGTTGAATTGCTAATTTAGTTATTGTGCCGGCTGTAATTGTGATGGGTATTGGGTGTGCAATTCAATTTGGTTTAAATATTTGTGGGAAGGCTGAGCAGTAATGGAGCTGACCTATTTCATGGCCCACATTGAGAGAAGAGACTGAAACAAACCCCAGCACCAGAGCCACACTTTGCCTCCGTTTGTATTTTTGATGTCTCTCATCCCTCTTAAGACTGTTGCTGCAACAAAAGGTTTGCATTAAAAGATGATGGCACTTTGATCTTGGGCTTTGGAGAGCTTGCAGCTTTGGTGCTGCTTTTCGTGGCAGTTTAATACGTGGATATTTTAGGCTAAAGAGTTTTTAATGTGTTTCTGGAGTTTGGGGGCTGGCCCCTCGTGTGTCCCTGTCCCCCTGGGTTGAAAAGCAACTGCTGGAGTTGTGCTGGGACGTGTGCCCCCGTTTAACGACACAGGAATGGCTTTAAGGGGGGGAACTGCCAATAGGTGTTTGTGTTACCACCCTCCATCCTGGTGCTTCCTTTCCAGGGGCTCCTGTTGGCCAGGTCCAAGGCCACCATCCCACCCCCTTGGGGACAGTCACTGGGTGTTTGCTCACTGTTCCAGTCGCATATGTTAACGATGACAGTGAATCCATGGAGGAGGCACCGGGCTGGTGGCTGTGGGCTGGAGTGAGCCGGGACAGGGGGGACACTGACACCACAGGCAGCAGAGCTGGAATTCATTCTTTTATTAAAAGAACTTGAGGTAAGTGAAAGACTTCAGCACCAGCAGAACCGCGCGGCCCCAGGGCAGCTCCCCCACCCCTGCCCACCGGTGCCACTGCCAGGGAACAGTGCTGGAGCCCGACCTCAGACCGGCACTGGTGGTACCCAGGGGCTGGGTTTACCCCTGCATGAAGCAGAGCCTCACTCAGTGCCTGTATCTTGGGATGCCCCCGAGCGGTCGACATTCCTGCGTGTCCTGCTGCAGCCCACGCTGGCGTAAGGAAAAGCAGCTTTGGGGGTTGTTTAGGGGGGAGAAAAGGTCTTTTAAATGAAACTGGGGTTCTTGGCTATTAAAGACAAAGCAAGTCTTCAGCTGACAGGGCTCCCGTGGCTGCTGGTCCCTTGGGAGGAGCGTGGTTACCCAGGATTTGGGATGAGCTCCGGCACTGGCTGCATTACACTCCAGAAGGAAAAGGTACAGGTGTGAGGCACTGACACCATTATTGGTTAATCCTCCCATTAACCCACCCTTCCTATTCATCTGTATTAAAAGAGGAATTGTAAAATGTGAACTACCTTTAAGACCATCATTGGTGTAAGCTCTCCAGTGCTAGTTAGACCACATCCATTACAGGGCCTGTGTACTAGGGACTGACTGTGCTTCCAACCAGAATTCCACCTTTTCTGAGCTTTTATTAATGGCAGGAGGCCCATGACAATACAAAAGTGTGGCGATAAGCTGGGGCCTTGCCTGGGTCAGCCTGTGGGGATGGGTGCTTACCTGCCACACACATTCCTGACCTGCTCCAAGAGTGATCATTGGGATTACCAGAAATCATCTCTTACATTCCCATCTTCCCGTGTGCAGGCAGTGATGGAGAAAAATCTCTGCTCAGATGCATTGGACCAAGATTTCCTTGTGTGTTTCTGACCCCACTGCTGTCCCTGGCTCTGGCCTTTCCCCTCCCCTGTGTTCTGCTGCAGTTTCCCACTTACACAAGGGGATGTAAACCCCTCTGAGTAAGCAGGGCAGGAAGAGCAGAGGTGTTTGAGCAGCTGTGTTTTGGTCTCTTACCTCCTCCGAGAAGGGCTTTTCACGCAGTTTGCTGGCCTGCTCTAAAGGAATTGGGCACAAAGGCAAAGCAAGCAGGGAACTGCCCTACGGAATCCTGCCCTGACACCGTGGCCATCCCAGAGCCATCCCTGCAGCCTCCCAGGGCACAGGGACAGCCCTGAAACACTTTCCCCTCCACTCCTCCCAGGTAACAACCAGACACGGAGCTCTGTTCCCCCAGGACACAGGCAGGAGGGCTCTGGGCTCCCACAGCAGAGCCCAGGCTCAGTGATGCGCTCACAGGGTCCCATTGGCACTTGTCAGCAGGGAGGTGCTGCTGCAGGGTGAGCACCCCCTGCTCTGCGGGGCACAGGCCTCACGGTGCCGCAGCACCCTTCATTGCCCGGCTGTGGCGCTGAGCAGCATCGGTCCAGTCTAATAAATAAGGTACAGGTAAGACAGCGGGGCCTGGGTTCCGCAGGCGCTTGCGTTTATCCATCACGTCCCTCAGGTCTGTGGCCGGGGAACACGCTTCCTCTGGTCAGTCTGATTGCAAACAGTACAGATGTCCCCGTGGCAGCGCTCCCTGAGCCTCCCGGCCGCGGTACAGTGGGCGCAGTCAAGCAGACAAAGGGCAGTTCTGAGCTGCTGCTTTTCTCCTGCGCTGTAGCGGGCCGGGCAGGGGCAGTGTGGGAATTGATGCTCTTACGTTGATGAAGGGGAGTCCATTGTGGAAAGGATCCGCACGATCTCGGCGCGCTGCGTGGGTGATATATGCTGGGTCATGTGCACTATGGAATCCATGGCAACCTCCGGATTGGCCTGGACCAGGCTGGAAAGAGACGAGAGTTAAGTGAGGGCAGCCCCGGCACTTGCACCCGAGAGCTGGGAGCACCCACACCCCCACCCTGCCATCGCAGGGCCCCATCTGCAGAGCCACTGGTGGAAATGATGGTGAAAGATGCCCTGAGTCACCAGGCATGGGCCCTGAACCCACCGGAGCATCGCAGCTCTCCCCGGAGCTCTGGGAGCTGCTTTAAAAGGGGCCTTCAGTTTAAGAAATAAACATGACCCAAACCAGACCTGTTTGAATTCAGCCTCGTTTGTCTTGGGAGGGTCACACTGGGTCCGGTGGAGAGAAACTCCTGCAAGGAGGAGCAGATGATGCTCCACTGGTTATGTGGTGTAGTGCTAAAGAGCACTCAATGGGAGCTGGGCTTTAAGACACTGAGCAGAGAGGAAACCAGTGCGAGAGGTCAGGGCTAATAGAAATGAAGGTAAGGAAGGTATGGATATTCCAGCATGTGTGGGCAGCACAGCTCAGAGCTGATCTCTCTTGGCTTTAGGAGAGAATGTACAATATGTATGTGTGTATGTATATACGTGTATATGTATATATGTGTGCATATATTTGTGAGTATACATGTGTATAGATATGTATGTATGTGTGTATGTGTGTAAATATGTTTCTATGTGTAGGTTATATATGCATGTATGTGTGCATGTATGCATATATATGTGTACGTGTATGCAAGTGTGTATGTGTATATATGTGTGGGTGTATGTGTATATGTGTATGCATGTGTGTACGTATGTGTTTATGTGTATGTATGTATGTGTATATGTGTGTAAACAGGTAGTTTATATGTTCATGTGTAGGTGTATATATGTGTATATATATGTGCGTATGGGTATATATGTAGGTATGTTTATATGTGCATGTGTATATATGTATATCTGTGTACGTGTGTGTATGCATGTGTGTATGTATATATGTGTATGTATGTGTGTATATGTATGTATGCATATATATGTGTGTATGTGTATATGTGTGTGTATGTATATGTGTGTATGTGTATGTATGTATAGATGTGTGTGTACGTATATGTGTGTGTATGTATGTAGGCATATATGTGTAGGTATATGTGTGTGTGTATATGTGTGTGTATGTATACGTGTGTGTATGTATATATGTGTGCGTATGCATGCATGTATGTATGTATATATGTGTGTGTACGTATACATGTGTGTATGTATATGTGTGTGTATGTGGATGTATGTGTATATATGTGTATGTGCGTGTATGTGTGTATGCATGTATGTGTGTATGTATATATGTGTGTGTATGTATACGTGTGTGTATGTATGTGTGTGTATGTATGCATATATATGTGTGTATGTGCGTGTATTTATGCGTGTGTATGTGTGTATGTATATATATGTGTGTGTACGTATATGTGTATGTATGTATGCATATATATGTGTGTATGTGGATGTATGTGTATATATGTGCGTGTATTTATGCGTGTGTATGTATGCATGTGTGTGTATGTATGTATATATGTATATATGTGTGTATGTGGATGTATGTGTATATATGTGTGTGTATGTGCGTGTGTGTATGTATGCATGTATGTGTATGTGTGTGTACATATATGTGTGTGTATGTATATATGTGTATGTATGTATGCATATATATGTGTGTATGTGGATGTATGTGTATATGTGTGTGTATGTATATGTGTATGTGTGTGTATGTATGCATATATGTGTGTGTATGCATATATGTGTATGTATATGTGTGTGTATATATGTGTATGTATGTATGCATATATATGTGTGTATGTGTATGTGTGTATATATGTATATGTGTGTGTATATCTATATATAAGGCCTGCTGACATAGTTTTCTATTACCTGTCTCTAATGGAGTGGCTGTGCCCTGGCTGTGCCCCAGGAAAGGGCAGGGATGGCCCCAGAGGCTCGGATCCCTCCTGTGCCGGTGCACGATGCTGCTCCCAGCAGGAGCCCCGGCAGAGGCCGAGCTCTGTGACCCGGGCCGCGTGCGGGCGCCTCACCTGCGGATCTGTTTGAGGATGTAATCCCTCGAGATGTATTTGATGTTTTCTCCCACCACGGAGCGAACTCCCTCCTCCTCCGTCAGCTGCTTCTCCAGCCACTCCACCAGGTCCTTGTTGCTGTCCCACAGGTAGCCCTGTGAACACACACATCACCCCGTGTCCTGTGCTGCGCTCCCAGTGCACCCTCCCCAGCTCACAGTCAGCCGCAGCCGAGGGGGGGTTCTCCACATCCCAAGAAGCCTTGGTGCCAACCCCCCCTTTTCTCCTTTGCAAGATCATTTCACCTGGTACTTGCCCGGTAGTTGCCTACATAATAACTCAGGAGTGTGTGAGACTCCTAATAGCCTGCTCGCTCCTCTCTGCTCCTCTCATTTTCTTTACAAATCATTTAAGAATCGTTTTGTTAATGGTTTCCGGAAAAGCAAGTACCACCATTAGCACTCATTCATATTTATGTCATTTTATTTGGGTAATTAAACACAAAGCTCCTCATTTAAAGGTGCACTATCCTTCTCTGTTATCACTAACCAAGTCAAAGTCAGAATGACAATGAGCTCGGTGCACTGCACCGTGGGGTGAGCAGGCACCCTCCTGGCACAGCACAGGGCAGACCCCAGCAGCTCCAACAGGGAACCTTGGACACTTGGGATGCTCACGGCTGTGCCTGTGGCCTGACTGGGAGCAGAGTGATCTGGGGCTGGGGGGGGGGGGGGGAGGGGCAGCATCTTTCCCATCCTGCTGAGCTATGGCCCATGTCCTTAAACCCCAGAGAGGAGCACAAAGGCAGCACTCGCCCATCCTCAGTGCTCATCCCTTGTTATACACTGAATTACCTGTTCCAAACACCAAGGAATTGTTTTCCCCTTCCCTGGGCTGCTCCAAAGCCGTGTTCCTCCGAATGATGATGGAGACGGTGCTGCACCCTCCGCTTAGAGTTGCCATGAGCAGCCCAAGCCCTACCCAACACTGATAAGAAACCTCCAGCATCGTGTCTATGACTGGCCGCAGTGATGTCACCTCAGCCTCAGGATTTTGCTTATTTCATTGTTTTCCCTTATTACTCATTTAAACTCCAGGTTTTGCTCCTTGCCTCCGCCCCCAGACAGGCCACAAACGCTCCCTGCATACAAAGTGAGGCCCGTGGAGCTGCCTTCACAGTTGCAGACCTGTGCAAAGCTCGATTTACCCAAGAATCCCAAAGCTTTTAGTTCAGGAGAATATTTAATACTCTTATTAATCATTTTTAATCCGTTTGCTTTTAATTAAGAAACAGCATGATGCTTTCCTATCAACATATGCCAGGGAGCAGATTAATTGTGGCTTAAGATAACTCTCCTTGATTGGTGTAATGTATTAGCTAACGCGATGCCCGCTTCTAAAGGCGCTCAGACACTACCTTGGAAAGCCGCTGCCCCCCAGGGACGCCCCCCCGGAGCCCCTCAGTGTTTGTGACTTCCAAAATAGAATCACATCAAATCGAATCAACCACGAGCTCCCTCTGACAGCACCAACCCCAGGCAGCGCCCGGGACCGCTCCGTTAAAGGACTCCCGGCCCCAGCGCTGCAATTGATGGCACCAAGGGGAGCCCAGATCCATGTCCCAGCCTCTGGCGGCTCTGCACGGTGTTAACAGCACTGCAGGACCCAGGAGAAGAGCCAAGGCTCCCCTGGGCTAAGTGAGATGTGGCAATGGTGAAGGAGCACCAGGCCCCTGAGATCTGACCCCATCAACCCCACGTTCCTGGCCCACCACAAGTGCTTGTGGATATGAAAAGTAAAACCCAGGCATCAAACCCAAACTCCACCTACCCAAGGGAGACCCAACCCCTTGGTGAGAGCTTTCCCACTTACCTTCACTGTGCCTTCAACTTCCACAAACCACCGCCTCAGCATGGCCTGGATCTGCCCGTCGGTCAGCTCGGGATTGGCATCGTGGATCTTCTTTTTGACCACATCTTCCAGAAGAAGGCGTCTCAATCTCCAGTAGAAGAAGGTTCGGGAGGTTTTCCAGTCTAGAATATCCTGCCCAAGGGGAGAAGGAGACAGGAGTGAGGGACGGCACTTACATGGAGAAGTACATATCCCTTATTCCCACTGGCAGAAGAGGCTTGCACAAGAGAAATACAAACACTCCCGTGTCTGAGCATTGAAGATTCCACCCATCGTCCCATTCAGGCCCAGAAAACGGGGGGTTTCAAATGGACACGGGGCAGGTAGAGGTGCACAACACACTGGTGTCCTGGGAGCAGGACACAGCTGGTGGGTGCAGAGGGTTTGCTCCTGTGGGAAGAGGCACTGGGGCTTGGTGATGGGTTCATGGGCTTGGTGATGGGTTCATGGGCTTGGTGATGGGTTCATGGGCTTGGTGATGGGTTCATGGGCTTGGTGATGGGTTCCTCTGCATGCACAAGACTCCATTCCTCCCGCATCAAACCCCCGTGGCACTCACCGTTATGACCCCCTTCTCCTGCATGCGGCCCGGCGTGTCGTGCAGGTCAGCAAACTGCATGGCTACCTGGTGGTAGATGGGAATCAGGAATTCCTCCCGCTCCTTCAGCTTCGTCTCCAGCTCTTTGCGGTCCGTGGGGCTCAGCTCAGGGGTACCTGCAACCAGGCACAGCCACATGTGAGAGCCAGGGCAAAGCAGAGGGAGCACGGGGGGAAAGGCCACCAGTGCTGCAGAGCCCTGAGAACGGGAGTTTCCTCCATAGGGATGAAGCCCAGACTGCATCTGGCCGGGACAAACACCAACCATCAGCTCCCAGCAAGGCCAAGTAGAGTCTTGAGCCACGTGTGAGGGGTCCAGCCTGGGTTTCCTGCCACCAGTACTTAGGCAAGAGCTTCAAAGGAGAGCTCACCGTGGGAACTCTTCCATTTAAATGCCAGTGAGCTGAGCCATCAAATAAGTGACATTTACTGGGCTTCCTCCTGCAAACGATACTGGCCCAAGGCGCAGTTCCTTTAGCAGGGAACAGGGACAGTGTAAAAGCACCTGCACAGTTCCAGGTTCTCCTGCAGGCTGGTTCCATCAGCATCCCTGCCTCAGCAAGCACGGACACACTGAGCCTCAGCACGAGCAGGTCCTGACACAGGGCTTGGGCTCAGTGCAGGCCCTGCTCCTTTCTACACCACTTGTATCAAGCCATTTCCTTCCAGAGCTCCTCTTCCAAGCAGAGGGGCTCGAACACACCCGCACATCCCCGAGCCACCGGCCAGACCCAACCCTTTCTAAGGCATTATCTATGTGCCTCCAACAGAAATGCTGCCCAACGATACCACTGCAAGGAAGGTTTGAATTCAGAGCAGCTGCTCCTGTAACCCTCACCATAGAGAACTCTGTGTCTATCCCTGCTGCACTCGGGCTCCTCCGCTCCCTGGTTGAAACGGGCGCACCTCAGCCCATGGGCAGGCCCGGGGATGATTGAGGTGAGATTAACAAATATGTCAATGTCTATTTTCTGCTTAATTTAAAAGCAGCATCTATAAAGATTTCTGACTTCTGAACCCTGTTCTCCTGCAAGCAAGGAGGTAACAATGAGGAGGGGGGGATAAAGAGTGATTATCCCATCATCGATCGTTTGTCAGGAGCATTTCTTATTCACTGGGCTATTGTACAAAGCTAAGCTCCCGATCAATCCCGTAAGCCCCCTGTACAATTAAATATCTTGGAATGGGTTTCTTTCTTCCCCAGTCGGATCCGGGGGCCTCGGGCTCTGTCAGGGAGCTGGGGCTTTCTTCAGTTATTTGGTGGCGAAAGGAAGTCTCCTTCCACAAATCTCACCTGGCGCAGGGAGGGAGCTAAGATACGGGATGGCTCTGGGATGGCTCTGCTCTAAAGGTACTTGACAGTTAATGAAACTGGGGAAGCTTAAATCATAGCAATGCTACCGAGCTCCGGGAACGGCCTGGCTGCTGATCAATAGGGAAACAGAAGCAGCAGCTCTGTGCGAGGGGCAGCCGCGGCGATGCAGGGCAGGAGGCTGCAGAGACAGGGTGCATTCAGAGGCAGGCAGGGCAGGGGTGACCTTCCCAGGCTGGCAGCAGCACCAGGCACTCTAACTGCCATAGAACATCACATTTGTCTCTGGCTGCAGTTTGGCTCCGAGGGCGCTGGGGTCTGTTACATGGTGCTGGTACGGTCCCTGCTCTGGCAGGAGCAGGAGAGGCCACGTAAATGTCTTAATTCTGCTCTCAGCACCTCTAAAGCCTCCCCACAGCGGTGAGGGCACCAAAACCTCTCCATTCTGCAGGGTCTTCGCCTTCTTCTTTCCTGATCAGCAGCAAAACTGCCTTAAACAAGTGGAAGAAGTGCCCTGGGAAGCACTAACACCGGGGTACCAACAGGTCAGAGTCAATTCTGAGGGCAAAAGCAGTGGCCAGGGCCTCGCCAACCCCTGCTGCACAAACAGACCCAGTTGAACCAACAAAACCCACTTTCAAACCACACATAAGGAGTATTTAACCCAGAATGTTCCCAAATGCTCCCTGGGGGAAGCTGCAGCTCCTGCCTGCCCATCTCCCCCACTGTCCCCTCCTTGGCCTATGTCTGTCTCCCCATGGGGTGATTCCAGCTCCCCATCCTTGCCTTTGGGGGTTACAAACTCCTCCTAGTGCAGAGCCGAGCTGCAGGCAGGGCACAGGGACCTGCACACACACTGTGCAGCCTCTGATGGTGGGGAGGTTCCAGGGGAGCTGCCCTCCTCTCGCAGACAAAGGCAAGAAATCCCCTCCGATGCTCAATATCCATTTACTCTCCTCTCCAAAAGTTAAGGGAAGCATCACAGCAGGAAAGCAACGTCTGAACTGGTTTGATTTGTGCCCCATTGAAGAGAAAGGGCTCTGAGCATCCTCTGTATGTGCACGGGGCAGAGGGAGCCACCAGCAGCATGGGGCCGGCACTGAGCCTGCTGCAGTGCAGGGCAATGGGTGCTGGCGTAAGGCTCCTGCAGGTGGGAAAGGCTGGGCAGCACCGAGAGTCACGGCTCCCATAACATTTAGTAGCAAAATGGTTTTCTTAAATACAACCAGTTTAAGAGGTCAGACAGAATGACTTCCAGAAACGTTGCTGTAGGTTCCCTCTGACTGCAGAGAGCCAGGAGGCTCCAGAGTCAATGTGATGGTTTGTGGTGCCCAAGATGGTAAAATGTGGGATTTCCTCCCTTGCCCTCAGCTCACAGCCTCAGCCAAGCATTTACCTCTCCATTTTCTTGCCTTTTCCTTAAACATTCACTCAAAGACCTGTGCAAAACCCAGCATCGAGGCCTCTGACCCAAGTGATCTGAGGAGATGGATCATCAGTAGCTGCGTCTTTCCAGACTTAGAATCAGGGAATGGTTTGTGATGGAAGGGACCTTAAAGCTCATCCAGCCCCAACCCCTGCCATGGGCAGGGACCCGTTCCACTGGAGCAGCTTGCTCCAAGCCCCTGTGTCCAACCTGGCCTTGAGCACTGCCAGGGATGGGCATCACCTGCAACTACAACTCCCCCACCCCGAATCCCACCCTCTCCCCCTCCTCTGCCTTTAACAAAGCTCTTGCCAGGCAAAAATCCAGCCAAGGCAGCAAGAAAGGCACCAGAGTGGGGGCTGCCCAGGGACACATCGGCCACCGCAGCCCTGGGGCTGCTGCAAGGGGAGGAGGAAGGTCACCGAGAGCCCCTCCTGCCCCTGCACAGAGCGGCAGCTCCGGATTGCTGCTTGTTTCTTTAAATGAGGCTGCTTGTAATTGCTTCACTAAATATTCAGCAGGATTTATGTTAGAAAGGTGCAATAGGAAACAGCAGCGAAGGTCACACATGCCCATGACATGAGCTTGAAATATCCTTGTACGACTGCACCGTGGGATGTTCTGCCCTGCTCCTTTCCACCTCTGTGCTCCTGAGAGCTCACACTGGATCACAGCAAAGGGGCAGGGATGAGCGCCAAAACATCCCTACTAGGGGAGGAATCCAAAACGCCAGTGACAGGAGGGAGCTGACAGAAAGCAGCGCCTGCTCTCCTAGGCTCATGATGGGGAATTAACAACAATTTAACTGCAGCAGCACTTGCATACAGAAGCAGTTACTGGGAATCAGCATCTATGAAAAGACAAAGTCACACCCGCGCCGGTCCAAGCCGCGGTGAGCGATGGAACCGCAGCAGCAGCATCCTTCTTGCTCCTTGCTCAAGAGGACAACCAGCATTTTGATTAATTACAACACTGAACAAACCAACACCCCCAAACCCAGAACTCCTGGGCTCGAGAGACACAGTTTAACTTTCCATGCTAAAGCCTGGGAGGAGGCAGGATGGGATGGAAGACCTCAGGCACGCATGAAACAAGGCTGGCCCCAGGTCACCAGCAGAGTCCTTGCCCTGTGGTTCAGTCAGATCATAGGATCAGCCAGAGGATATTCCCCCTATTACAACATATATCGGGGTGATGAACAGCCACTTCCCTTTACTATGAGATAAATACCCAATAGGAGGAATATAGAAATGTAAAATCCAACCCTGCTCTAACCAGAGCTGTTTTGCCATTCTTTTCCTTCCTATTCCCCCCATTTTTGGCACGCATTCCACTGTGCCATGCCCAGAATCCCCATGACAAAGCTGATTTTCATTCTGCTCCCACATGTTTCACTCCAATTGTAATAAATAAATAAAACCAAATCTCTGTATTCCTAAGCACAGCCTGAAGCCTTTCTAGGCGATTTCTAGGCAAGCACTGCTCCCCCTGCACATGGACTCGCACATGGAGCCGTGCTCGTGGGCAGGAGCAGGGCTCTCCTTCCTTGCCTTGCCCTCTGCTCCTCGCCGTTTGCTGGTTTGTAAGAGCACAGCTCCTGAGTGACACTTTAATAAAACATGGGGCTAATAAAACATCGCAGCGACCGCGCTGGAGAATTGATAATGAACAGATTTATGTCAAATTATTCAATATCTGCCAGCCTTCCCTGCTCTCACCCTCCTCAAGTGCAAGTCCAGCCCCAGCATCTCCAGATGCCTGCAATGAGACCACTGTCGCCCCCATCTCCCCACTGCTCTGCACGATGTAGAGCATCTCCCTCTCCCCTGCTCTTCAGCAGCTCCAGGGAGGGATGACAGCCACTCAGGGGTTAAAGAGAGGCAGTGAACCCCCAGCTAATGAGTAAGAATTCAGCAGGCAGTGTAAGATAAATGGAGCTTTCTGTGCTTCTGCTGGAGTCAGCATGAACTGCGGCCCTGCGGCTTGTTTGTGGCAAATGGAGTGCGCGAAATATCAAAGGGCAGTGATCCAGAAGAAGACCGACTTTGACAAATTTTAAATTGGCCAGAAAGAAAACCAGAAAAAAAAAATAAAATATAAAATTATGCAATTCCCTGTGTCCTGCAAGCCCAGTTCCTGCTATGGCACCGAATTAGTGGCAAAACAACTGCAATGATCACCCGATGTTGGGAGCAATTACGATCCATCTAAGTGAGATGCTTATCAGTGACTGAAGCTTTTAGAGCTCTGGGTATGTACAGTTGTAAGTGACTTGCTCTGGTGTTGCAGTCATTTTAATTAAAGTCTATGGAGTTTGCTGGGAGTAATTACCCTGTAGAGGAAGAGGGGGGGGGAAAACTCCCTGAGCAGGCTCCTTCCTCCTCACACAGCGCTGGGTTGGATTTGTGGGGCTGGATTGGAGACCGGTGGCAGAAAAGCATCTCCCCTCTTTCTCCCTGTGCTCTTTTCCAGTGATGCTGGTGCAGGTCCCACTGGTGTGACTCAAGGGTGCTCTGCAGGTGTCCTGCACCCACCCTGGGTGACAGACCCCATGGAGGGGTAACCCAACAGTGAATTAGTGCGTGGCTCTGTTCCCCCCTTCCTCTACCGCTCCAGCATTTGAACACCATCAGCACTCTTTGTGTCCACAGCCAGCGACTGCTCCTGGGAAAGGACTCACGGGGCAGTCCCTGCACACAAGACACTGTTTTGATGCAGAGGCAATAGGATGGTTTGTGCTTTTTATGGTGGGAGAAGGTAAATACTCTCAGCAGCAGTGCTCCCGCTGTAGTGCCATTTATCTGCATGGACCGGAGCTGACTGCTCAGCACATTGCCTGCTCTAACCACACATCTGATTTCTCCTTCCCTTGGAGCCATGACCACCAGAGGCAGCTCCCCTGTGTTGGGCACGGAGGTGTAGCTGAGTCCTGACTGTGCATGGAACTCCACTTTAAACAGCCCTGACACTGCAAAGCATGAAGCACCTTGGGAAAGCAATTGCTGGGACCCTGTGCTGGGTCTCAGCAATGTGGTGTGCTCACACTATCTGTTTAACGTAGGCCAAAAGTGAGGTTTGGTGAAATGAAATCTCCTTGCTGCAACTGCAAACATTAAACCTGGGTTTTCATTCCAACAGACACAAGCAGGTGGAACACCACATCCATCCTGTTGGGTACCTGCATCCTCTATGTCACGCAGTAACACACAGCGTACACAAGCAAGACCTGAACTCAGATAAAACTGCTGCCTTGTGCTGGCCTGCAAGCTCCTGCTAACCCTGCTTCCTGCCTGGAAAGCAATTGGCACAGGGAGAGAAAACAAAGGTGTCAAACACCACCATTAAAAAAAGAGAGGAGAATGTCATTGATGCTATCAAAGACCTCAGTAAGAGCCTGGTGTTCAGCAAACAGCCTCATTCCCAACACTCCCCACACCCCTCACAATTACTGTTCTCTTCCCAAGGCATATCAGAATGGTTGTTTGCTGTATAAGTTGTTGCACTGCCATAAATTAAAAAAAGCCCAATAATAAAATGTAACTGCAGCAATAGCCACGATTTATCAGTCATTTGCAGAACAGTTTTCCTCCTGAAGGATCCCAAAAGGCTTTATAAATTCAAACCATACCCACATAGCAGGCTTCTTCCACTGCTGAAATGGAGTCAATTTTGGAGGTAAAAAGAGGCTCTGCAAGATTATGCTCTTATAGTAAGAGCTAGTAAAGAACTATTTAAAGAGTCTATTCCCCTGAGAGAGCACATATCTGATATTAAGTGCATTTTGCTGAACACTCTCTGTTTGGGGCTGTTGGGTATATACCAGGTGCTGGGATCATTTGGAGCAGAGCACAGTGATCCCACACAGGCAGCAATGCATCAGTCACTGAGCACTGCACATCACCCGGGTGTTACTGAGGAGGGGAAGAGCATGTTTTATTCTCTTGCAACTCAAGAGCAGACAGACATCATCACTCGAAACCACCTCAGACACACAGTGATAGTGCCGCAGCCCAAAATGTCTTTGGCTGGGTTCTTAGTTATGCCAAATGCAACAGCACCACAATAAAACATTAGTGTGTGGCAGGGGGTTGGAAGGAAATGAGCTTTAAGGTCCCTTCCAACACAAAATAGTCTGTGATTCAATATTCTGTGAAATGAGACCAGCGGAAAGGTTGGCCCACGAGCTTTTAGTGAGCTGAGCAATTGCTCAGATAGAAACTAAACTTGAGCATCTGTAGTAAGGGTCTGTTGTAAGACCCATTCCATTAAAAAATGGAATCAGTTCAACAAGACACTACGTTACACACAGCCTCAGCATCCTAAACACATGGAACCAGAGAATGGTTTGGGTTGGAAGGACCTTAAAGTTCATCCAGCTCCAACCCCTGCCATGGGCAGGGACACCTCCCACTTGCTCCAAGCCCCTGTGTCCAACCTGGCCTTGAGCACTGCCAGGGATGGGGCAGCCACAGCTTCTCTGGGCACCCTGTGCCAGCGCCTCAGCACCCTCACAGGGAAGAGCTTCTGCCTAAGAGCTCAGCTCAGTCTCCCCTGGGGCAGCACGGACGTACCCAGCCGCTCTGCCAGGCGGATGTAGACGGGGTCCACTCGCCTCATCGTCTTCACCAGATCCTTCCTCCGGAACTTGATCTCTACCGTCCCCTCGGGCTCCAGGATCCCTCCTCTGATCAGCGAGGGGAAAAGAGAAAAGAAAGGCACTTTGAGGTCATCAGACAAGGGGAAACACACAATGGAACGGTTCAATGTTGGCTAGAAAGTGTGCAAGAAAAGATGAGAAGAGGGGAGGGAGACAAAACAAAGAGAAAGAGAGAACAAGAAGAATCTTAGCTATTATTCACCCAATGCACCAAACACACAGGAGGACACAGAAGCATGCCTACTCAACAAGCAGTGCTCTCTGGCAGTCTCATTTCAGACCACAGGTCTCTGTCTCACTTCTTTTGAACAGAGAAGGGCAGAGGTTACCACTGGAAAGTGGTCAGGTCCTTCTAGTAATGAACTGCCACATTCTTAATGCAGAGCTCCTCACCCAGCCAGGGGGTGATGCTGCAAGGCAGGGGGTGCTGGAGGGAGCTGCCATACCTGCTCTCCCGGTCCGCATACATCTCCATGTGGCGGGGGTTGATGGTGGGGTCGATGACAGCCCAGGAGCCTCCCCTCAGCTCTGCTTGAGGTGGGATGTAAATCAGCACAGGCTGGCGGTACTCCCTGAGGCCGTCCACGATGTAGGCACCAAACTTGAGCACTTGGTCATACATATCTGCAGAAGGACGACACGGAGTTTGGAGTCAGAGTGTGTCAGTGCTCCAGCCCTGCCACGCTGCTCAAACCAGGAAAGAAACAGTTATCGAGCTCTTCTATCCACCTCCTGCTACAACACTGCAGGATCCAGGTGTCCTTACTGAACCTGGCCAAGACTTACTACCTTCATGTAGTGTACCCAGCACATTTTGTGGCAGCAGGCCTTTTACATAGCTTTATACAAATGAAGTGTGTGGGGAGGGCTGTGATTCCTCTCTTCTTGCATTAGAACTTGTTTAAGGCATTTTGCTCCAGCTTAATAAGAACAACTCCTGTGTGTAAAGACAGTGCACTGAAAATACCAGCCCCAGAGGTGATTTAAATAAAAGAGAAAAAAAGGAAGGCAAAGAATTTGTATGGGATGATATAGTTTGTAATGGATATAGTTTGTAATGGAAACAGGCACCCCTGAATATATACATTTGTTGCATATAATTATATAGAGAATATCAAATCAAATATACAAGAAATGAAATATACTTATTAGGACGATCTAGTCCATCTCTTTGCTCACAAAGGACCGTATCCTACCTTTTTTTCCCAGTGCTTTTTAAAGCTTTCATTTAGAAATCCCAAACACTAAATCTACTCCTTCTTCAGGGGCATATCCACAGCCAAACAGATGAAGTTTCCCTCAGTATTCAACCAAACTTCTCATCCTTCCCCATCCCCATTCATTTCACATTACTCCTCCTCCCATCACCCTACATAACCTCTCCATTCCTCCGGGCTTGCTATAAGTAGCAGTAGGCTTTTCAGTGGGGTTTTTCCCTTAGACACGCTATAGGTGTTCATTCCTCACGTCTCCAGGCCTGTATTTTCAATCCCCTTCATCATGTTTGTTCTTTGCTCAGCATCTCCCAGTTTACCTCATTTTTGGGCATTAAAATAGCAGTGCATAGAGCAGACAAACTAAACATGTTGCACGTGTGTACCACACACACAGGCTGGCCATCAGTGTTACATCACTGAGACACTTCCATACATGTAAAATCCTTCATCACTTGAGAAAACCATCATTTCTGGCAAGAAAAAGACTCCAGCAAGGTCCCCTTGTCCTTTAACCCTCACTTCAATGTTAAGCATTAATATGAGCATAATTAAGCACTTAATTCTTTGGGAAATACACACAGTTTTATGTACACATGCACAGAGCAAGCCAGAGGTGCATATAAACTGTGTGCAGATGTATATATAAAGTGTGTGTGCATATACACGTTATATGTATGAAAGCACCATAGGCACTGATGTGACCTCTCCAGTCCATTTCCAAGGTCACTGTCCGAGTACCCAGCAAAAGGAAGTCCATGTTATTTAAGGAATGTCAAATGCTGATGAAGAAAAGAACAAATTACTGCCTCTAATTGTCACTGACCATCAATCCTGGCAGAGACAGTGGGGACTGAGAACCAAACACACCTCCCAACCTTTTCCTTTTGTCCTGAGCAAAGAAGAAAAGGCCTCAAAAGGGGTGACAAATTTATTACTAATTATACAATTATTTTATTATGTAGTGCTAGTAATAAACTACTTCAAGTACTTTCAGCTAATTCCAGTGTTAAGAAAATAATTGCTTGATTCAAATTATTTTTACAGAATTAATTCTTTACTAGACATTTTTTACTAGTGCTACATAATAAAATAATTGCGTAATTAGCAGTACATTTGTCACCCCTGCCAAGGGTATATATTTTACCCAGGTTAAGAGTAGAAGAAAAGCACCACTCCTTGTTTGAAGAAGGCAGAGAGGGAGGAGGAGCGTTTGAAAGGAAGAACTTGATGCTTTCCATGCACAGCTCCAAATCTCTTCCAGGTTTACCTGGCGTTGGCAAGGTCAGGGAAATCTTTCTGTGCCCACAGTACTTTCAGGATTGGACTTTCAAAGCTATCCAGCAGCTATGTGGTTCTGTGCACAGTTACTCCTTTGGGGATCCTGCAACACAGCACTTCCCAGAGCCTTAGTTAATATTTTATATATGGATTTATGCCAACCATGGGCTTTCTGCACACTTGAAACCTCTGCTGAGGTCCCGGCCCTGCTGCTGCACTCCTGAGCTACAGATACACCTTAATACTTCCACATCTGTCTGTAAGGCATCTCCCCTTATGGTAACTGCTTCCACCACGAACACCAAATCCTGCTCAAATAAGGAAGAGACAATCAACCAAAGGGTCCCTGTGGTGCCACATGCAGCTCCAGGCCATGGAACCTGCTGAGCTCCAGAGATGAGCCAAGGGGAGCTGAGTGCCCCCAAGCTAAGGAAGGTTCCTGCTCTTCTGCAGGGTTCTCTCCTCCCCTCATCCCAACTGTTCAATCTGCCTACACTTACCACTTCAGCAAAGTGGGGACTCTTAAAGAATGCCTTGGTGGGCGCCGCTTGGTAAACTGTTAGTACTGTCACTAATAACACTGTGTTTAAAACAAAACCCAAGCACTTTCATCCTCACCTGCACAGCAAAGAACTCCACACACATTTTAGGCACAGGCTGTTCTCGCAAGGAAGTGGCTTATGTTGAGACAGGAAAAACGAAACGCTCTGTTTCTGAGCCAAATTTCATTCCTGTGTTCATTTAAACCTCATATAACAAGCCACCTGCAACACGAAAATGCTGCAGGAGTCCTTGAGGAAGAGCAGGGGTTTCTGGTTCCCCGCACACGTTCCCGTTCCCAGCCTGCCTGCTCAGCTGCAGCGTGCATCCGCGTCTACTACACACAGGCATGAAAGCTGTTGGAAGCAGTTATCATCACACTGGACGTGTAAATATTGGCCGTAGGATGCATCAAGCATGCTAGAGAGGCTGCAGACAGCTTTCTGCATCTCCATTGCGTCGGGCAGCATGCCCTGAACCTCCAAAGCTGGAACGGATCTCATCAGCTTGGCTGGATTATCCGATAGGACCTGAAGGTAAACACCAGGCACATATTGGCTGCAGACACATAATGTCCCTCCTAAACCCATTAGGTACAAGCAATACCACCATTCAACAGCCAAGTAATCAGAGATTTAAACCAGCCTTTTCATTCTGCTGTATCTATTATATACAGATATATATTTATTGTTATTTATAACCTGTCCCAGGCAAAAAAATAAGTAAAACATGAAAAACCAACTGCGAGTGACCCTGTAGCACAAGCTGCAGTTTAATGTCGTGGGGATTTGCATGCTATCAAACTATTCATGCTATCAAACTATTCATGCCATCAAACTATTCATGCCGAGCCCAAGACCCTGGTGCTAATTTCCAGTGAATTTCACGCTTGATGTCTCCCCGTCGTGGGTCACTGCCGGTTCGCCTAAATAAACCCCTTCCAAATGGCTCCTCCATCTAAATATTCCAGCCAGTTCTTATAATTTAATTTTGCATTATGCTGAAGAGCCTTCTGGCCAGAGAGAGCTCGTTGGGGAAACCACCACCACCCTTGTGATCCGCCTTTATTGATGTTAGTTAGTTACTTATTTGATGGCTTGAATTAGACCTCCCAGGCCGACCAGGGAAGAGGGTTGATTTTTCTGTTTCTCTCTTTTTTTTTCCCCCCTCTCCCCCTCCACTAATGTCAATTTTCAGCATAGCAAGAGCTGTCTCTAATCTTTTCCTACTCATTACACACAATTTTGGAGTCATTTTACCCACAGTGCAGTCGGCTCCTGGCACTGTGTTTGTGTGCACTGAGGGGTGGCATAATTGTTTATTTTCCCTCCCTGCATAATCCCCAGCCAGCACTGAAACCAAACCTGCAAACAACTCCCCAAGGAGCACCAGGAGAGACCTGCACTTGCTGTGCCAGCCCCTACAGCAACCCAGAGGCAGGAAAACACAAGGACCAAGGTGCAAACGACAATGGGTCCTCCTCCTCCTCCCAGCTTGGTGGGAATACGAAGGATACACGATGTAAGTATTAGCATCCTTGTAGTGCCTTTTCCACCTTGGGTTTCTGGTCTCAACTCTAAGGCTAAGCTCAGTTTATAGAGTTCATAGAGGAACCCAGCCAAGGGCACTGTCAAAGCTGACAAAACTTGGTAAAACAAATGATACTTAACCAACCCTTGGTGAAGTTACATCAACAGCTTCCCCCTAAGCTGTGTAGTAGGGAAAGCAAGTCACAACGGGAGTACAGCAGCAGCACATGGAGCAGAAACCAGCCTGAAAGGTAACAGGTGTTTTCCAGAGGAAAGAATTTTGCCATCTTCCATCTTTGCAGCTGCAAACTCAATGGCATTGCTTCCTGCAGCTTCTGCCTTTGCCACCCTGTGAGCCTGTCCAGAGCAGAAACTCTCACCATGATAGCGCATCTCTAACCCCTCTCCTGTGTTGGTAACTGCCACGTGCAGTAAGAGACTGTAATCTTTTACTTATTTAGATTTTATAGTATCAATCTCACATTCTTGGCACTTCACGACATTTAAAGCAGCAATCTGGTGCAAAATGTAACTGCTGGTACATTAACTGAGCAGTTTATAGCTGCTCACTTCCTCTGAACATCACCACCACCAAGAGAGAGAACTGGGAGACAGTCCTTGATAGGACAACATTACAGTGGGAAGAATCATCAGTGAGATAGTGTTGACAGAAGAGACCTTACATTTTTGATAGGCAATGTTGTTGGCTTCCCCAGCCCCACGTTTAAGCTGAGGCAAAAGGATATAAAGCTTTTTGAGCAGAAGGGGTTTCCTGAGATTAGTATTTAACTAACCCAGGTTGGCAGCTGTAAATTCTGTTAGCAACTAGACCACTGTTAACATCCAATTACCTGTTCTCACTGCAGATGAGACTCATCTGGACTCAATCTTCAAGGTCTTTTCCAATCTATGATTCTACAATTCTATGATCTTGCCAGTTCCTGTAACTGTGTGTGAGGTTATGTATAAAAATACAGTTGCACTGCATATTTTGGGAAGAACTTGATACCAATTTGCACCTTGTATACTCTGTGTTATTCCTGCTACCTGCCTATGAAAGACAAGACACACATGGAGAGGAGAGGAATGAAAACCTTGGTCACCACATCTACTGTTGCATGGTATGTCCCTTTGCTCTGCAAGTTCACAGGTACAAGCTGTCATCACAGCTAAGCCACAGCAGGGAACAGCAGAAGTGCTCTGGGCAGTGAAAGACAACCCACACTAAGGACAGCATCAAAAGGGGGTCCAAACTGATGCTTACCTTTCATCCCACCAGAGAAGCCTCTCCAGTTTGCAAAGACCATCAAGGGCAGCCCTTCTCTGTTGAAGTCATTGATAGCCTGTGCAGTCTTGAAGGCAGAGTCAGGGAACCACACCTGACCAGCCTGCTGGATTATCTGTTGGGAATGGAAGAAGACTGGTAAGCCTTGAGATACATTCATGTAAGAGTTAGCATAAAACCACAGAAATAGACAGAACAAGAGCTGTGATGTGGAATTAGCAATGAGGTGCATGAAATGGCTGGGATCTGCTTTCCCACATAAAAATCAGGACAATCCTTTTGTCATCACATCATTTAAGGCCAGGCTGGATGAGGCTTTGAGGAACCTGGTCTAGTGGAAGAAATCACTGCCTGAGGCAGGGGATTGGAATTCCATAGCCTAAGGGAAGCGGGACTGCTGGGGAATGTGCCTCCTGTCCAGTCACTCTTCCCAGCAACCACCAGGCATCAGCACCTTATCAAGGAACAACTGTACTTTCTGTCCCACATTTGGGGGTGCAAAATCCCATCAAGGCAAGTGCCCTTTCCAGAGGACAAAGAAGCCCTGAGCACACATTCAACCCACCTTGGCCTCCGAGTCCAGGTTTGCAGGATCTGCAGGGATGCTGAGCTCCACCGTCCTTGTTTCTACGGCAACAACTCCTACAGGTATTCCTCCCAGCCTGGGCACAAGCAACACAACAAATCAAACCTCAGATTTCAACACAGTATTTCTGATTTGCACATCAAATACACAAGAGAGACAAGCGATGGAAGCAAATGGTGGCAGCAGCATTCCCTCCTCTTCAAAGAGTTTAGGCATGCGGCTGGAGAATTCCAGAGCAGAAGTCAGAGTCCTCAAAGCAAAATCTAGCTCTAAAAACTAGCACACCCCTCACTCAAAATTCAAGAGAATGAAGCAAAGCCCAAAGTTTGAATGATATCACTGCACCTTCACCACCCTTCACCTGACAGTGATACCCTTGACCATGAGAAATAAGCATGAAGACCCCAGCGACACCGGGGGGCTCTGCTTTCACTGTATCTAACAGCTCCTGCAGACAAAGAGCATCTTTTGCTCATGCTGACAAGTGCTTACTCCCAGGCCAGGAGTCCCAGCAGAGCCAACACTCCCTGCTCAACCACCTCAAGCTGGATGACACGGCTGCAGGCAGAGAGAGTGACAAGGCCCATGTGCACATGGGGGTTGCAAATATTCCCATTCACTATGATTAAGAGTCTGCCTAGAACCCCGTAATTGCAGAAGCCGTCTTAAATCGGTAACTTATAACTTCCATATTAGGGCCCATGTGACCTAATAAAGAACATCTTTATCCAAGTATTACAGTTATTTATTGAACTTGAAAACAGCTCAAAACAACTTCTGTTTTCCATAATACTTCATATAAATTTTATCAGGCTAGCACATGAAGATGCTACATCTTGTTTTATAGTGTGTCCCTGGACAAGTTGCCATAGAATAATAAAAGACAATTTACAGCCACCAGCACACATATTCCAAACATACATACAAAAGATGAGTTTTGGCAGCACTTACAGTAACAATCCCAGAAGAATACACTCAGATTTGGGTTTTTTTCAAATGCCACTGCTTTTGAAAGAAGTGGGTTTCATTTGTGTTATATATACCTGTTATGTGAGAGTCCAAAGCAACTTGGAATTTGTCAGAAGAAAGGAAGCTGAGAATGGGCCTGGACAGAGATCTCCCAGCTTTGACGAATCACTGATTTCCCCCCATTCCCCAGCACACTGCTTAGCATAAAAGCCTTTAAATAATTATAGGACCTTGTGAGATAAAACTTCAGAGTGTCACATGGTAGATAAAAATACCAAAGTGTATCAGAAGGTGGCATGACATCCCAAATTCTGGGGCCACGTGTGCTATTATCATAACAGAAGTAAGAAGCAGCCCTGGTTCATGGTGATGCACCCTGGTTAGAGCCTCGGTGTACTCTGTGTTCCACGAGCAGTGGTGTCTTTCCCTGTCCCCCTGCTCTGGCAACCAAACACAGCAACACCAGGGACATCCTGGTGCTACAGCCAGTCCTTGAGTCACCGATATGGTGAGGCTTGAGGCTGATGGAGTCAGCCCCCAGGGGTGGCCACTGGAATTCCTGAAGGAATTCCACCATTACCAGGTGATGTGGCTCTGGATTGTTGGCACCACGATACTGACAGTGCGGGAGGTGAAAGAAATACAAGGTTTTTCTTTAATGCAGACTTCTGCTGGGAACTAAGGCCCTCTGAACACCCATCATGCACAGGCACGACTGTATCTCATCAAGTGTAACACCTGCAGCCTCCAGGATCCCATTCACACACTTCAGGTTTTTTTCTTCCCTCTCACTTGCTTCCAAAGAAGGAAAAAACCAACAGGCTGACAATTAACCAAAGCCACTGACATCAGTGAGGAGCTGGGAGTTGCTGGAGGCAAGAGGATGAAGCTCTGTCTTGAGAGGAGAGCTGCCGGTAGTCTGAGGAGTGACAAAGAATAAGGATGCTGCATCTGGACAGCTCAAGCACTTGTATTGGAAACTCGAGGGAGATAAATGTACTCCTTCAAAATGGCTTTACTCTGAGAGGAAGCAGACAATCAGATCAGGAAACTCACAGTGCCATTAGAGGGGGGCAAAAAACTAGAGCAGCAGCTAGAAAAGAGGCAGTTGAAGGGGTTTTGAGCCCCGCTCTGATCTGCATCCTCTCAAAATACAGGATTTTCTCCAGGCTTCTGCTTCCTGCCAGCTTGGAGATCACAGATCTGCAACACTGAGAATGATCCATGCTGGAAATGTTTCCAAGGCACGGATCTAAACTCTAGGACATGGGGATCAGTTTAGAATCCTGCAGTGAAGCCACCTGGCAGCAAGGTGAAGGGAAAGGACTCCCTCTGGGGAGCGTCCTGTTCAAGTAATGACTTATTTTCACTTACAGCCATCAACTTCCAAAGGATGGTCCAGAAAAACACAAAACACAATGAAAACTTGATTTCTAAAGACATCTAAAACACCCCTTAGAATTTACCTGGCTCTACCAACCACGACCGTCTGTGCCCAGGGCTGCATGATCTCGAGGAACGAGCCATTGTCAAAGAAACCACTCAGCCACTGTCCTTTTTGACCTAAAGGGAAGGGAATAAAAATGGAAATATCAGGGGAGGGAAGCAAACAAGAGACAATATCAAAGCAGCAACTGAAACTTGCTTGGAAATGCCAACTGGAGGAGGCAGCACCATCTCTTTATTTATTTATTTTTAAATAGATTATAATATAAGGGAACATTAGACAGCTGAGCATTTGTCTGCCTTCAGCCATCATGTCTTATTTCATTTGCTAGCCTGCATAAAGACAGTAATTTATCAGCAAAAGCATCATTTATTGTTAAACGATGGGGTTCGGATAGCAGAGGGACTTCGCACGCCTTTAAATAAATGTTTTTTTTCAAGACACTGCAAACATTTGTCAAAAGGCAGTAAAGTCATTAAAGATGGCTTTCAAAATGCTATTTCTATTTGAGAACTTTTCTCACATTTTTTCCTCTTGATTCTGCCTCATCTTTCCTTTAAAGAAGGAACACTGAAGAAATCCAGGAACTAGACCTAAGAACTCCTATGGTGTTTTAAAACCAGACCACACATCTGAGCATGTTTCCAATGCTTCTCTTAGGAAGTCTTGGTATGAAATATCCCGATACCAAAAGCCTCCTTGCTCCACAGAAGACACCAGCTGAGGCACCTCTCCCTGAACTCAAGGATGCTTTCGGAGTCAGCATCCTGGAGCAGACCATCTGCTCCCAGACCTGTTCTCTTGCAACTTCCTAATGCTTGAGAGAAATCAAGCTATTCCTGAAGAGGATGTTACCAAATGACTTGTCTCATACACCAGCTTCTACCCTGAAGTCTGAGGCCTTGAATACCCTGATCACACTAACTATGCACTAGGATTATTTGCCCTTTGTAAAGCCAGTGCAGTATCAGACTTGGGGTTCCTCCTGCACAACAAACTCCAATATATTGCCAATACCTCTGTGATCTTCCAGGTCTTTTCCAGCCTAGTTGATTCTATGATTCAATAGTCCCCCTGTGCAAGAACTTATCTGTTCACTAACAATCCACATATATTCCTGCAGACAGAACGCTCAGGATGACAGTTACAAAGACCCTATGAAGGAGTTAAGCCTCACCATGCTGACCTGTGCAGTGCATGGCAGGCAGGAACACCATGGCAGGAAGGTTTCCCAATATTGCAGCTCGGCCCCTGCTCCAATAAACAGGTAAGGCCACGATGAAGAGCTTTTATTTGGGCTGACTGCTGATGCTGGGCTGGGGAGTGACGAATCAGATGTGCAGACAGCTCTGTGCAGCCTGTATAAGCTGAACAGCCCAATGTCATGGCATTGAGCTATTCTACCCACCCAGACAACTACAGAAATCACAACTCTCTGAGGCACCTGCTTCACAAAGCTCAGCAAAACACATTAACCAACCCCCCCACCCCAAATCCCTCCTAGCTTCACCCCTTGGCACACAGCTTCCGAGGAACGCTTTCATCTGAACAAGCACCTCTGCTTCTGCAAACCCAAGTCCAAAACCAATTAAAAAGTGGAGATCCAAGCAAGCTAACCTCTGCTGACTTAAACAGGATGGAGAGTGTTTTATCAAGACCAAACTTGTAATTACTGTGTTCTACATTCCTTGCCTCTGTGGCCCCACTGTAAAATGTGACCATCCATTTCAAAATTATCTCTTTATCGCGAGCCCAAAGCTGATCGTTTAGATTCTGGCCTCGTGTCGGGCGTCAGTTTGAAGAATATCACGGCAATATCTCCTCTAATAAATGGCTTTAACTTTTCACCTAGGAGATATCTGCTTTAACTTATCACAGGGAATCATCTGCTTTCCTTAACGCTTCCACTAAATTAAAATCTGAAGTCACTTGATTCAGAAGCCGGCGCTGGCTGCACTCAGACAGCTGGATGAATTACTGGAGAGGGGATGGAAAAATATTAGCCAAACCCAGAAAACTTAGTTTATCACACATCTCATTTTAGCCCCCCAAACTCATTAATAACCGCAGGAGGAACGGTCACCCGGTTCGCAGCCTGGCCATACGCAGGCTGCACAACGCCAAAAGCAGGCATGGGGGTGCAGTGGTTTCCAGGGATTCCAACCCAGTTATTCAGCAAGATCTGCAGGAATACTGTGATTGCTTCAGTGTGCAGCCTCTTTGAGTATTGGCTTTCCTCTGAACCATAAAAATATCTATAAAAGTAACTAATAATTGTAGGCGTCCTCAAGCACTCAGAATTGATATGCTATTTTTATATATTATATTCAAATTGTTTAGAACTAATCACTTGCTAAGCTCTGAAGTATATTTGGATTGCAGACACAAAGCCTGGACAAAGAGTTCTGCAACAAGACACATTCCTGAGCATCCTGCCCACCAAAGATCTACATACTCGGATTCGGATTGGGGCGCCCAGCCAGCATCCAGCGAGGATCATAAGGAGTCTTGGTAGGAACAAACTCTATGGGTCTGTCTATAGGGTCCTTGACTTTGAGGATGGGAACAGGGCTGTAAACACTCTAAGGGAGAAAGAAAAACATTGAAGGAAGTCATTCATCTGCATGGCTTTGCACCAAAAGGACACAAGCAGAGTCCTCTTTTTCCCCCACACTGCACAACCCTTCACCTGATGGGACTCCAGAGGCTTGGCAAAAGCCTGGAGAAACTTCCAAGGTGCTCCACACTCTCTCCCAAACCTTTGGCATCATCTGGCACACACTGTACTTCATGTGCTCTTGAACTTCAGGCATAGCCAGAATTAGTGAGGGGTTGCAATTTAATGCTGAAAGGTGCCCAGGCCACTGACTCATTCCATGCACTCTTTCCTGAAGGAAGGTGACCTGCCCGTTCGTGCTGCCTCCCTGGCTGCAGAGCAGCTTGCACTTATACATCAACTCCTACAAATTACTGCCTCAGAGGAGAACTTTCAGTAGGAGACAATCCACTGCTTACAGAAAATCCTGCTGCCCAGAGCAGTGAGGGCAGCACAGCAGGGGAGCGATGTGGAGGTACCCAAGGCAGTGCCAGGCTGCTCCACATCCCAGCTCCCGCAGCACTTTTAAGACAAAAACTGCTTTGTTGACCAGAATGCTTACAGCCTCAGGTCTGAGCCTCAACCACTTTGCCAGGGACCATACAAGCACAGGAAAACCTTGCACTCCTGCAGGGCCAGGAATTACCTTTGGCATGTAGGAAAGCCACTGCAGGATAGTGTAGACTCCTTCAAAATCATCACACACGGTGCTGTGCGTCACTCCGTTGTTGTGCATGATCTGGATCCCGCCCAGCTGGTTGTTGGAGGTATAAACTTCCCGTCCAAGCACCTTTTGAAAGGAAGAGGAAAACCATCAGTGAATGGGATGGGACAAGGAGGTGTTGGCTAAGGAGATACATACAAACCCATCCCTGCAGCAAGTCATGATCCCTTCGGTGCCAAAGGATGGAGCAAACAACTCGCAACAGCTCTTCCCAAGCCCTTATGAACAGTGATCCCCAAGGGAATAACACAAGTGGAGAAACTGAGGCAGCGGGCAGCAATGAAGCTGATACATGACAAGGTCTCCTGGGTGCTGACCCAAGCTCACTAATTCAAACTTCCTCTAAGACAACTGACAGGATGGACCCATTTAAACCTCTCAAGCCCCATGCATGAAGACAGGTAGAGCAAAGACAAAGCCCTACCAGCTCTATACCATAGAGAGACTGGAAAGAATAAGCTTCTGCTGGGCTTCTAATTCTCTTGCACAGCTCCATCTCTAATCTCAGCCCAGGCACCGCAGCTCTTTTCTCATTCTCCTGCTGTCTCTTCCCATTTGCCCTCTCCCTGACTGATACACTGATCTCTCGGTCACTCGGCTTTCTGCTCCGCTGAGTCCATATTACTAATAACACCTCTGCCACGGCCAGTTTACCTCATGAAGGCAGGAGCACATCATTACAAAATAAACTCATAACTTTGACATTCTAGCAAATACATGCCGTTTGTTATTTTTACGGGTTGAGTCTTTCTAACAGGCAGAGGGCATTACCTACCTGCTTCATTTAGGTCTTAGAAAAAGCCCTCCAACACACACAGCCAACCTGCTCTCCCCCACTAAACCACCAGCAGCTTGTTCTAGGAAGAAGGGCTACCCCAAGCTGGAGCCCAAAGGATCCTGGTCATTATGGAAGGGATGCTTGGGTCTGACTTCATCCTTATCCTACAACAAGGGTTCGGGCCATGACTCATCCACCTATAGTAGAGGGGAGCTCCTCATGTCTCAGTATTTGATCTTGTCTCAGGATGTGAGCTTTTAGGCTGAAAGTTAAGAAGGTACTAAAGGGATATGAAAATAGAAGTTTGATCTGGTTCTAAAGCTCCACTGGACCAATTGGTTTTCCTCTGGTGCAAGCTCAGTTTATCACAGCTGGGGTCAGGGAGTCACTGAGCCCATCCAAAGCATCGCCTGGAGTTGTTGTAAGGCCCAATGCTAACTCCAAATTCATCTTCTTTTGGTGGTCTGGTGCTTCACAAAACTCAGCATCTTACAAGCACCAGATGATCCTCACAAAGCTCCTGATGTCAGATGTCAGCTGAGGCTTAAATCCAGAAGAAACGGAGGCACAGCAGTTATGCAGTAGCTCAAACACTTATAAATCAATGTCAATGCTGTGGTTTTGCACAGAGATGTTCCTGGGTCTCCGTTCTGAGCTCAGAGACCTTCATCTTCCCCTAACAAAATCAGTGCCATGAAAAAGCATGGTAAAGAAGACAGCAGCATAGATTTAGGTTCAAGGAAAAGAAAAAGCACAGGCCTCCAGATGCCAGGCACAAGCCTGCTAAATGCCTTCCACAGAGGAAAATAAAAATAAAGAGGATTTAAGCTCCCCATCTATGAACTAATGCAAACGTATGTACATGCAAAATGGGCCTCTGCTGCTGCTTATCTAGAGACACTGTAGACAGCTCAGGTTTACCAGTGCTGACAGGCAATGAAAACAGTCTAATATACCGCCTGCTCTCGCCCTTAAATCCCTTTTTGGAGATCAAGATAAATATGCAGTTCCTTTTCCCGAGTGCTCCAGACTTTCCAGTGAAGTGGAGGAGCGGGGTGAGGGGCTGTGCAAACGCAATCCCTCTGCAGCCCTGAGCCAGCTTTGCATCCACCCATCAGTGTTTGGCAGCAGAGGCCACTGAGTCCCAAGCTGCAGGTAAAGTTGGACCGATGAGCGCACGCTGCCTTTGTTCATATGATGTGTATGTCCACACGTGTGTGCTCACTGCAGCAAGAGGGACACGTAGTCAGGGCACATGCAAGCTCTGAATCTTGACTTAAGCACAGTCCAAATGCAAAGCAAGCTGCTCCGCTCACTCCCCAGCACAGGAACTGTGAAGATAAGGGGTTAAAGAGGCATTTTCCAGGGATGCTGCCAGGCTGGGTGCTGGTCCCCAATCTGCTCCTGCCCATGTGCTCCTCCAGCTTCTAAGGAACGATGCGAGATCCTGCCAAGGTGTTGCACACATACAGCTGCAGACTGCATTGAGTGCCAGAGGTGAAAAGGCACTGAAGGGCCAGCCAGCTTATAGACAATGATCATTGGGCTTGAGAAAGAAATGAATGCGATAGCTCATCCATTCAGCTCTGCTAACCACCTCATCTCTGACCTCAGAGGACTACATTTTTAAAGGCTGACAAGTAATTCAATCTCCAATTAACAATCTTAAATGGTGCAATGCATATTGCTGTATAAATGTTTCAGCAAGAAAGTATCCAAGGGTAAAAGAGAACACATCTGCTGGAGAAGTCCAAACCTGATACAGTTAAAGGGACTCAGATGTTCCTCAATAAGACACACAGCAGAGGCACAAGTGGATTTAGAAATTATTCTATATTACTAAATCAAGTAATGCTAGAAAGAAACTCATAGGAGAACAGACTGCACAGGATTAAATCTTCTATCTGAGTATGTATTGAAAGGGAAAACTTCAACCCTGAGAGGCTGGGGTGACCACGAAGGTCCACTGAGTCACACAAAGCAGGAGGTCAGAAGTGGAAGCAGCACTAGCCCAAGGCTTACAGTTTAATGACCAAACATATGCATGGAAGGTTAAGTCTGCAAAGCAGGTAGGTTACTGGCACTCCAGGGAACACAGATGCAGCTGCAGCAGTCAGCTGCTGTAGAACTGAGATCAGGAATGGTTCAGCAAGAGGGGTGGGAAAGACCAGGTCCCAGGATTTTAAAGCTTAGATACACAATAAACATATACCTCCACCTTGGCACTATTGACCTCTGGTTTAGTGCTTAATCTGATGGCCAAAATGGACAGAAAAGAGCAGCCAAACACCAACACACCAGCTTCTGGCACCAGGAAATGTGCTTTACACCAGAATCGTTCCCACTCCATGAAAGCTCAGAAACCCCAAAACTGTGTTTCTGCCCACGCTGAGTGTGACATGCTACCAAAGGAAGCTGCTGTGGGTTGGTGGCCCCACAGAGAAACCCCAACCTGTCCATTCTGAGGTCTCTAGTGAGGACCCCTCACTACAACAACAGGAAACCACATTTCTTCTGCCTTCAGAGGATTTTTTAGGAAGTACAAAGGAAAGCCAGGATTCTAGCAGCCTTTTCAAGACCATCTTCAACAGGTCTATAGGCATGTTGGATGCACATTAATCATCTCAAGCCCACAATGATCAGCTGCTTTCTCTGCTTCTTTGCAGAAGCTGGTTAGTTGAGACATTCCCTATGAAGCTGGTTCGGCTGCAAACTTGATTGGCTCCATCAAACAGGAAAGATGTGAAAAGATGACAGCAGAGGGCTTGAATGGGAATCATTAGGTAACATAAGTGCTGTTATTATTCAGAGCATATCATGCGTTTATATCAAACAGAAGTGCCAGATTTTTATCCAAATAATTTCAATAATTGCAATTCCCATCCCACCATTCATATTATCTGCCAGAAACCTGAAGCAGAAAAGGCACATGCACGTACTCTAAAGAGCCTACTTTTCATAAACAGGCAGAAATGATGGGAATGAATGTCTCATCAGAAAACACAACGTAGGAGCTCCAAAGCCCACTGCCATTATGTGCAGTCAAGCCCCAGCAGATCTCACTGTTGTTGTGCCCATCACTCAGCTCTTCCCAGCACACATATCACGTCATTAGAGGGTAAACCAGCAATGCTGGATGGGAGAACCAGGAAGAGCCCAGCTCCTGCAGCCCTGCCCCGAGTCCTCAGCCCATCCACAGCCCCCTCTCCCTGCCTGCAGCCTGCTCTTGCATTTCTAATCCAAACGTGTGCAGTTCCTGCACTTCTAATTTACGAGCGTTCAGTGGGGGACCCTTCTGACTTGGGAACATATTGGCTCGGTCTAATGCTTGGAGATTATTAAAGTCAGAGCTATACTCCACTATCAAGTCTACAGATCTTTTATTTAGAAGATATGGTGCTCTAAATGCACAAAGAGCTCCCTGTCACCTTCACATTAAAGCCCCTAGTGCCTGGTAAATGGAATTATATAGCTGTCATCTCCTTTCCCCAAAGTTTTAAGAGTACAATGGGCTCATTTTTTCACACTCCATCCCAGCTTCAGAACTAAGAGACCTACTTTGTATTGATTTAGAGTCTCAGAAATAAATAAACCTGCTTCACCAATGTGATTCACAAGAAATTCATGATACACTATTGCATGATATATTTCAAGCTGTGGCTCCAGCTCTTTTTTCCCTTTGGTGAGTGATGGGGGAGGTGGGAGGCAGGGGTAGGTGGGGGGAAGCTGACAGCCTGATGGTTATTGGAGATGGCTACTGACTGCAAATCCACAGGCAGGTCTTGCTGGAGGAGCCCTTTTCTTGCTTTAATGTGGTGAGATCAGGGGGGGAAAGAGGGCAAAGCAATTGCACTTCACCCCAGAGGCAGCAGGGGAAGACATATCCAGATGGACACCGTGGCTGCAGCTGGGATTTCTCCACTCCCTTTTGCCTGAGGATGCCAAGGCACCTCAGCAGTACTCAGGAGCAGGGCTCCAGGTGGATCACGGAGGAGACATGCCCTGTGTTTGCTGGTGGCAACGCAAAAGGTTATAGGGAGGGAACAGCTCTTCCATCCTGCAAGGACTGATGAGGATTTCTGAAGGTTTCTGGCTTGTAACAACCACATTTTGCAGTCCTGAGATGTGGTCAAACATCAGACAGGGTCAAGATGTTTGCTTCTCAATTGTGAGATATTTCTTGTAAATCTTAGAAATAAAAAAATCCTTTGAAAAGTCAATTGGGAAAAACAAAGAAAAAGAAACACAAAAAAAAGAACTTTTCATTTGACCCCAAGAATTCCAAATG